AAAGGCTCCAGCCAGCTCTTTCAAATTTTGCGAGTTCGCGACACGGTAACGAGTCTTGTGATTAGCTCTTAGCACATTCTGGTCATCATATAATGATAAAGTCGGATCATTTCTCGCGAATTTCGCTATGAGCGCGTCGTGTCAGCAACAAGTTTTGCGGCATTTGATATTTCGTTACGACAGGCTCTGACGACCTCAGTCAGTTCCCTGGATGTTGATGAAACGGCCATCATTCAGAAATTCCCCACTAACTTTTACAAAGGCTACATTGCCATCATGAGCAACGCTTTATCGGAGGCGGCCCGGACTATGGATTGAATATTATGTATAGCGGGGTCAGCTAATGTAGGTCAGGTAATCGAATGTTGACGTAATCGCAAGTCAAGCGAACCGAATGTTGAGGTTATCGCAAGTCAAGCGAACCGAATGTCAAGACATTTGGACTTGACAATAACCGAATCTTATGACAATTGAATGTAATAGAATGAACAATGACAAAATAATATTGTAGCAATTACACAATAATGAAATAATTAAGAAATAAAGTTGAAATAATGAAACAATAGCAATAGGATACTGCAGTAATAACACAATAATGGAATAAGCACAAAATAATGTTTAAATAAAGACCAAATAACCGAATAATGACCAAATAATAACCAAACAAGTTTCCAAATAAAGACCAAACAACTAAACAATGTTCAAATAATGACACCAAGCTAATTTTGGCGGTATTCTCACCCCATAGTATGCAACATGCTGATGTGGGCTTACCCATGCCTACGAGACAGTTATTTCATTGTCATACGACAATACTAATGGCAATGCTGACGTGTCGGAAACCGATCGACATATTCTAGAAATTAATTTGGTATTTGTATCTAAATAAAAATCTGAAAGTTTACAATCATAATTAATGTATAATTCATGTTTGTGTTTATTTCCAATTGTGCTTTGGATATTTACTTTGCCACGTCAACAGATTTGAGTCACGAGTCATGCACGAACAAGTTGCCATTATTAGTTAGGAACACGTCATTATTTGCATTGTAGTACTACTAATATGCCTGCCACCCCACATCAAATCCAAGACATCGTTTGTTACAACCGATATACTCGCATCAAATATGAATCGCCTTATTCTCGTTGCACTGTGCGTGGTCGCTACGGCATGTATTCTACATGCAGCTACAGTAGACAAGAACGAACCGGCCAAGGAAGACGTGAAGGCTGTGGTCGCTGAAAAGAAGGACACCGCTGAAAAGAAGGACGCCGATGTGAAGCCTGCTGCTGAGAAAAAAGAGCGCAAGCCAGAACAGAACAAACGTGAACATGAGGTAAGATAATAATGATTAATCAGGACATAACAATAATCGGCCGAGTGTTGGTGGGTTTCTTTTTCATATAACTACTGAGGTGGGCAAGGGGGGTAACTGGTACAGGTTACAGGATATAAAAAATGCATTTTACGTTTTTAAAAGGAAAGTTCCAATTGCAGTAAAATATAGTTTGTTACGCTTTACAGATAAAGCAAATTCTTAATTACATTTTACATTTGTATACAATATACTTGTAATATACTTGATAATTTGTGTTTAAAAATCAAAATTGGAAATTGTTGAAAATGCTTTATATGCTTACAAAAAATAAGACCTTTGCCACAAATTACGGGCGAATGAAATAGCTGATTACATTTTACATCTTGTCCATGTCTACGAATGTACGTTTTTTTATTTATTTAAATTACATTATTATGAAAATAAAAACAATTGATTACAGCTTACGAAAATACCCCTTGCCGACCCACATTACTAGTAAGCTTTAGTCGGACCCACATATATCCGTTTGTAAATGTTTGCTTTTCATTCCTCGGAATCTGACCAGTTTCATTTGTACAATTAATTTGAGCATGAATCTATTGCCTTTGTGTACCGACTTGCAACTCGCATTAATCGATTGACCTGGTCCAGCTGGCATACAAGAATATTACGTATTTTAGTTAGTTTAGTTAGATTTAACAAAATCTAAAACGTTAATTAATTGCGATATGACAACTCGATAATTACACCTGTCAGAATGGATGTTTATTTTGTGTATCTACTTTTTTTGTTGCAGAAGACACAGCCAGCCTCCAAGAAATCTAAGAATGCCGCACCTCACAAGAAAGACGAGAAACGCGTCCCAGCTGAGAAGATGAACAAAAAACGTAATGTCGCCAAGCCCGAGAAAAGACTAGCACCAACTAAGGAAGCCAGGCAGCCCGCACTGCACGAAAACAGCAAACTGAATCGCAAAGACTTGAAGGCTGAGAAACCAGCCAAGAAGGCACAAAACCCAAACATGGAAAGAAATGCCAAGAGCAAGAAATCTCAAGAAAAACGTGCCCCAGCAAAGAAAGCCGATGCATCCAACAAAATGAAGAAGGCTTAAAATAATTCGTGTGTAGAAACACAGTGTAGTATCCCCCTTCCCACAAAAACTGTTAGTCAGTCGCTTTATCCTCTAACATATAAGTAACTACATTTAGAACACATCAAATATCCTACGTCTATGTAATTAAACTGTTATGTTTAAAAATAAAATAGTTATCTCGCATATTTTATGTTGAATGAATATATTCACGTTAATGCTGGTTTGAAAATAGGCTTCCGTGCGTCAAATGTTTAAAGAGTTTCTCGACGTGTCGAAAGTCTAATTTCAGATCAAGTTTCGTATGTTGAATGAATGAATGAATGAATGAATGAATGAATGAATGAATGAATGAATGAATGAATGAATGAATGAATGAATGAATGAATGAATAAACGAATGAATGTGGCGTACCCTTTGTTATGTCCTGCCAACAACCATATTGTATCAACCTTTTTTCCCACAGCCCCATTACCATCATCGTCTATCTTCTTTTTTTTTAGCAATGTATATGTATTTACCCATATATACCTTTCAGGCCAAATGCGACTTCACATTCTTTTGAGAACTTGAACTATATAATTTTCAACAACACTAATGCGGTGTCATTTTGCTACAATGATGACCAACCATACCACTACTATATTTTTTACGAAGCTCTCATATTTGTTTTACAGTTGTTTTCACCTCTTTTTTTGTTCTAGTTTATACACAGTTGTTCGCACTTTCCTTGTTTTAGTTTAGTTGTTTGTTTTGCTTGCTTAGAGTTTTAGATGATACCTCCTTGTTTGTGACGCAGTCATTTATGAGGGAAATTAATTGAATTTGGTTTTTATACTCTAACAACGAATTTCATCTGTATGTGTCTACATCCTGTTCTCATTTTACCGCTTTTTTGAAGGCTAGCTTTATGTATACGTTTTCCGGGTATAAAATGTGTGAATTTTGTAACTATTGGTCCGGTACCGGTTGCCTCTGTATTCGATGTCGGTGTGTAACAAACCAAATCTTTCTGTGTTTATACAGCAAAATATAGTACGCCTCTATGTTGTCAATAAATGCCTTTATCGTGTAATAGTTTCACAAAATGCCCCCCCCCCCGAGTATATCATAATATCTAATACTACGATTCGTTAGTATATCCCATAAACCCTTTCAAACAACAAAATTAATCATCTTCGTCATGAATTTAATACTACGTGTTAATGTCATCAGGATACTGAAAATTAAACAAAAAAGAAAAATTTTAACAATAATTTGCATTTTGGCACTGATGGTGAAATTATTTCTTAATTTCTCGATATTTGCCAATCAGTGAACAATGTAATATGCTTAATTTAGTAAGTTTCCAGTGTGATAATAGTTTTCAAATATATAGAATGCAAAATTACCTCCCATAATGCATTGTACTGCATATGTGCTCAATAACCTATATAGTTATCTATGTATTTTTATATCGCCACGCTCGAATACCTTTCTTCCCTAAATACGTTGTTCCAAGAATCAGTACGCTTAAATATTGCTAATGTTTTTACCTGGCATATTCACAATGTTGTCCTATGACCGCGTCAGAATATATATGTGAACGCCCGGAGGTTCTTGTCAAAAGTCGAAAATAGGTAGAGCAGTAATAGACCGGATGTCTTGTGGGAGTTTATTCCATAGTTTAGGAGGCACAATTGAGAAAGCCGTAGTATTTAGGTTTTGAACATGCTTCTCAGTTTGAACAAAACTAAAATGCCGGTACAATCAATGAAAAGAGAATCAGGCTTACTCGGGGCATTTGGTTTACGAAATGCAAAATAAAACCCCAATTATTAATTGTATATTCAATAATTATGGTGTATTTATACAAACGACGTGTCATTTATAACAGCATTTTCATTGCAGCAACTAGGCGTATTTTGTTTGTATTGTTTGAAATTGTTCGGTGATTTGTCAGCTGATTGTGGGTACATATTTACGCAAGAAAAATTCGCTTCAATGTTGGTGGATGAATAGCATGTTGCAACACATCCGGTTTAGTTTGCCTTTTCTGTGGATGTTTACTAACCAACGAATTAACCTCTTTTGATTGACTATAGAAACTCTAATTTGAACAAATGTTCGTAATCCAAGCATAAAATTCACCCATTAGACATAGCAAACAGACCCATACGGAAAAGACCGCCGATATTTCGTGGGGAGTGAGATGGCCACGAGACTAGTATTCTATTTTTTCTATGGAGGGATGAAATATTATTCGACAATTTTTTTGCTGTGTAACCTACCAAACACTCTATATTGTATATTT